TGTTAACATGTTTATATATGCTACCCGGCCCACCTTTAGTTCATACACTTTGAAATATTTCTGCTTCAAGATTGTATGAACAAAAAGTGGGAAGTGTATGAAGTAAAGGCAGGCAGGGTAGTATACGTATACTAAAACTTGAATTAAATTTTTCAAACGTTGGCAACCCTTTTCGAAAAAGCAAAACCTTATCAAACATCTGCATTGAATTTGACATCTAATTTTTGAAAATCGAACGAACGGTGCGGATCTAATGGCATTGGTTATTAAATAACTTGAATTAAATTTTTTAACAGGTTGCAAATGTGTTCTATATAAATATTTTTCCGCGAAACCATGAACTGGCCATCTATATGTCACGGATGACTTGTGTGTCTTTATTATAATAAAAGCAAATTAAAGTTGTTGATACATTTACAATGATTTTAGACAAATGCCTTTTTAAATGTTAATATGCATGATGAAACTATTTAGAGCCGTCCGCTCACTCGCTAATACATCCGCACTCGGCGGCAGCTCACACGCTACTTCCTCTCGTTGACGATTCGGCCGGTCCTAACATATCGTCATTCCAGGGCGATTCGACATCTGCATCGATGTCGTCCTCGACATCCAACCCTGGCGCTAGCGTGCACCATGGTTTCATATGGTCGGTGCTTATAACACCACTGTAACGCCGCCTGGAAACGGTGGCATCTGTCAAATCCTCCACGATATAACGGTCGTAGTGCAGCACCTTTGTAACCACGTACGGACCTTTGAAAGCTGGATCTAGTTTGTGGGAGTCACCAGTTGCTACTGGGACATGATCGATGACGACCAAATCTCCCACCTGATAGTTGTGAGGCTTCCGATGTTTCTTGTCATATCTTTGCTTCCACTTCTGCTTCTCTGCTAAAATATTTTTACGGGTTCTTCCCAGTTACTCTCGGAATCTGCATTGACATTAACTCCATCATGGAGCACCTAGATCATCCGATTCTGGGTTACAAGCTGAAGACCAGTTCGTTTGAACTGAACTTGGTCATCTGATGTTGCTGCGAATTAAGGTTCCCCTGTATCATGGGCAACGCTGAATCCCAGTGCTTGGCGTCCTTCACTTTGCATCGCAAACAATATGGCCCTTGGTGTACGCACCGCTGTCTTAACATGTTGTATTCCATAGCCGGTAATAAACGCCTGGAACTGCCGAGACGTGAAGGCGGTCTCTCTATCTGATGTTATTCGGAGTAGTTGACCAAAGACAACCATGACCTCCTCCAAAGTATTGACCACTGGTTCTGTTTAGGTATTCCTTAAGGCTGTCAATATGGAGTACTTCGTGAAACCACATACGACGACTAGCACATAACAATTGCCCCTCTTACTCCTGCTAAAAGGGCCCAGGTGATCGATGTACAACCTCCTGAATGAAATAGGTAAGACCTCCATTACGTGAAGCTGGCTTTCAGACTTTCCATCTATGGCTTTATTCAGGCAGCTGTCCTCACATCATGCAATGTATCATTTAACATACCGGCGGATCTGTGGAAACCAAAACGCTTTGCTAATCTTCTGAATAGTCTTCTCTAGCGCAAAATTACCGGCATCGTCATGACACGCTTTAACTATACGCCATCGTGCTACATGCGGAACGCCTAACATGGACTGCCCATGTACTTTACGCATTGGTCTACCCTTCTCCTCTGCGTAGTCATCTTTTAGTTGCATCTTGACCGAATCTTCGGCTTGATTGTCACTCTTTAGAATTTGGATTGTCGACTGCAGTTTTGGGCGTTGCATTTGCATGATATAAATCCAATCCGAATTCTCTGTTACGTTGCTAACCTGCATTACCATCTCTGCGACAGTATGCGGCTCGGTTGCCTCTTCTACCGGACCTCTGCGCTGCATTGGCGACTATAGTAATGTACCGGCTTCAAACCATTCTCCTCCAGCTGAAATAAAACCCCAGACAGCCCATATGAACTAGCATCTGTGTGCACCTCGTGAACCCTTGTGGCGTCGTACATTACAAGTACAGGTGCGCTGATTAAAGCTTCTTTCTGTCTACTGAATGCTGCGTCCTGCTCCGGTCCCTGCTGGAAATCTTGCCCTTTCTTCAGCAACTGTGTTAGAGGCAACGCAATACTGCTGTAGTTGTTGATAAATTTCCGGAAAAACCCGGTCAGTCCTAAGAACTGGCGAACGTGTGTCACAGACTCCTTAACGCTATTAACCTTTCTGCTGTTTGGTTTGATACCCTCTTCGTTAATTATATGTCCCAAGAAGTTAACAGTAGTTGCCATGAATACACACTTCGATGGACGCAAAGTCAGCCTTGCCTGCTGGACCGGCTTCAAAAATTCCTCCAATACCTGGACACCTTCCTTTACTGTTGGCGTGGCGATGAGGACCTCATCTACATAACTGATGATCCGGTTGCATCGCTCCAAATCCCTGAACCACCATCTGTTGAAGTTCTATTGGAGCATTGACCAGTCCAAATGGCATGACGTTGTGCTCGTATAACCCGTCCGGTTCCTCTATCAAGGGAATTTGGTAATAACCTGCCGTCATATCGAGCGTTGTGAAGAACCTGTTGTCACCCAACCTCGCCAACTGTTCCTCTACGACTGGCATCGGAAATTGTTTCTTGACGGTTACTGCGCTCAGTGCTCTGTAATCCACGCACATTCTCTGCTCCACGTTCGCCTTCTTAACAAGTACCACTGGTGCTGAGTGCGGCGATGATCTCGGTCGTATAATATCGTGTTCGAGTAAGCTATCGGTGATGGTTCTTAAAACTTCCCTTGGGGAGAACGGAACTTGATAACGTTTCCCAATGACTGGCTTATCGGTAGTAACTTTAATCTCCATCTCCATGGTTTCGCACCGGCCTAGCGCTGACAAATCCTCCGAGAAGCCATGGTCCTATTTCCTCAATAACTGCTGGAGTTCTTTCTCGTCACTTTCGGTTAACATTTATCGATGATCGTTTCAGAGTTCACTTCTTGCACCTTCAAAACTCCTGACTCCATTATCACCTTCGTATCGTCGCGACGTAACACGTCTCTACCTAACAGTAGCTCATTCGGCATGAATCTATTTATTTATTTAATTAGTCAAAAAACACAATGGTTCTTACTGACTACTCACTTAGTGCTAATACAAATCATTCAAAATTAGTTCGAAGATAAATTATGACTAAAATAAAAATTGCTACATTGGTTTATTAAATGTATGAGAGTTAAAAAGATGAATTCAACAGAAGAGTCAACTGATTCTTAGAAATTGAAAAATCAAACGAAATGGAATTCGAGATCTCATTTAATTCGCGAAGCGCCCGTGCAATTGGTGCATTGGATTCATAATTGGTTTTGAAAATCTTAAGGTAAAAAGGGTAAGAGCTTCGTAAAGCTCTTGTCGGAATAAGAAAGTTTATGCGTTGCAACAGAAACTCATTAATATCAGCCTGAAGCCTAGCTACATCGTTTAAATTTCTTATTGCGGCAAAAATTTTCAAGTCATCTGCGTATAATAAGTGATTAGCAAATGAAAAGCAACTGCTTATATCATTTATAAATAGGACGAAAAGTAGAGGACCTAGAACACTTCCTTGAGGTACCCCTGAAGTGGCAATGAAAGGAGCAGACGATTCGCCCCCAATCGTAACCAGACAACGCCTTTCACTTAGATATGATTCCAACCATTGAAGGAAAATCGAGTGAAAACCAAAAGAGCCCAATTTACGTAAGAGAATTCTATGTGGCACCGTGTCAAAAGCTTTGGAGAAATCTGTGTAGATGCAATCTACTTGAAGTCCGGACGAAAATGATTCAATGCAATATTCGCTGAAAACGGCCAGGTTGGAGACCGTGGACCTGCCTGATACAAAACCATGTTGGTTGGAAGAAATTAAACTTTTCGTAGCAAAGTATACTTCCTCTTTAACGATAGCTTCGAATAATTTGGAAGTAGTCGACAGCTTGGAAATTGGTATATAGTTTCGTACATCATTCTTTTTGCCACTTTTAAAGATTAGTGTTACTGTAGTCAATTTCCAATCATCAACGAAGAAGCCGGCTGCTAGACTTATTAAAAATTATTTTTAGTGGAGTGACTATAGCGGGACATTTTTTGTATAAAATTACGTCTGTCTGAGATGAGGGCTTCAAAGCTAAAATTCCTTCTGATAGGTCAGAGGAGAGATTCAAATTACCAAAATTTAGAGAAGAAAACTGATTACATTCGGGAAGATTATAGGAGTCTATATTGTCTCGGACAAAGTTAGATTGGAAAAACTCGGCAAATAAATTGGCAACCTCACACGGAGAGCTCGCCACTTTATCATCCAAACACACGACAGCTGGTACATTCGCACAGGACTTGTTGGATTTGATGAATTGCCAAAAAGTCTTAGGACTCGATTTAATATTATTCTCAACATTAAGTATGTAATTACGATAAAGAAATTTGTTTAGGCAATTAAATTCTTTTAAATAACACTGATATCTGATGCAGAATTCTTGGTTCTTAGTTTTTATATACTTTTTGTAGAATTTGTTACGCAGATTTTTAAGTTTATTTAATTTAGGTGTATACCATGGGAACTTATAGCACCGATTTTTTAATTGGTGAATATTAGAGAAACATATATCCAACAGTGTCGATTTAAATTCATTAAAGCAGTCAGTGACATTTAAGCCCGAAAGCATGTCATCCCAATTAATAGCACATAACAGATCATTAAGCCTAGAGAAGTCACAGGAAGAGTAATTAAAGGCGATTCTGTTGGCCGGTTTGCTGACGGAAAATGCATAAAATTCTACTCTAAGCAGCATTGAAACATGATTTTTATCAGCAGGAGAGAAGGGAAAAGGACATTGAGAGATAGTAGAATCAAAGTGGCCAGTAACGAAAATGAGATTAAGAATTCTATTAAGTTTGTTTTCAAAATAATTAATTTGAACTAAATCTAAACTTAAGAGATTATCAATGAAATATGATTCAAGGGAAGTTGTAATACATATTAGTTGGAATTAGCCCAAAGTTGGAAAAATGTTTTGACCATATAATGTTCGGAAGATTAAAATCGCCAAACACGCAGAGATGATTATCATTAACTTTATTTTGAGCAAGGGAGACAATTGTTGTCGGAATTGGATTTAAAAACGACAAAAAAATTACTTTGGTGTCATGAAATCCAATGTTATCGGTTTTATGTTCGAATCGGAATTAGTGTCGATTTTAGGTGTCACAGAAACCAATAATATCGATTTTGGTATCGGAAACAAACCAAGCAGCTAACGGCTGTTGGATTTCATTTGTTTATTAGTTTTCCTTACTTCCAGTTGGATATTTTATAAAAATGTGAGTAAAAGAATGTTTATTTTATAAAAATATTTGTTAATGTATTCATATTTTTATTCATCACTTTTTATGCTTTCCAAAAATGTCTGGCGCTACTAACGTTCCATACGAATGAGTCATGGCTAGAGCCGGGATAGAGTGCATCGACGGCTCGAATTTTTATGTCACCATCACACATCTAAATAAAAATGTACATGCATATATATAAATCAAGGCAATGTACGAGTAAAATGAAGATTCATGATTACTTACAATCAGGGCATTCATACTGAATTATTTTCGATTATAAAATAAATGTTCGTCAATACTGGGCTTAATGATTTTTATGTGTGTCCCGTCGATGCAACCAATTATTGAGGGAATTTTGTACTTTAAGTAAAAATAGTCTCTTGATATGCGCTTTTCGATGCAGTCCATTTCTAGTTTCACCCACTGAGGGCAAATGAACCGCTCCATAACCTTAAGCACATCATCTAAAATCGTTGACACCGCGCTTCTAGCTACACTTATGCTAGAATCGTTCCCGACTGATCTTTGACAGGATCCTTCTGCTAAAAATCGCAACGAAGCTGCTAACTGCAGCACTGGTGGAACTTTCGAACGTGTCAAGTGCCCTTCAATGGTGTCAAGTACCTCTTTGTTTAGGCGATAATATGCTATGAAACTGCTAATACGCTGTAAATATTTATAAACGCATATTAAAAAACAATCTACTTACGCTGTCTCGGGCAGCTCAAGTGGATCGCCGCAATCTCTCAAAATTTTTCTTTTAACCTTCTCGGAACTTTCTTCTTCCAAGAACAGAAATGCGATAACTGCGGATGTCATTTTGCGCTCACTTACTTTTATTTAAATTAATGAAAACAATTCAATTTTAAAAAATTGTGTCAAAAAAATGTACATTCAAATTGCCGCCATGCACACAAATGAGCAAAACAGCTGATTCGAACATCGGTTTTGTTTATGTTCGAAAAGAGCAAAACCAATCCGGTTTCATGACACCAAATGAAACCAATATTGGTTTGTAATTCCGACAAAAAGCAAAACCGACTTGGATTCCATGACAGCCCTGAATATTGTCCGTATGCGCTTTATAGATTTCAACACTACTACTTGGCGGAACGTAAGAGGCTACTAGATAAAAATCGCCAAAACCAAAAGAACTTTTGACACGAACACAATTGCTCGAGAATAGGGTCCTCATTAGAGAGTTCTATTTGAAATGCGTATAACGAATGCTGGACGGCAATAAGAACACTTCCACCCAATGAACACCCCGTTCTACTAGCATCGCGATCTTTGTCAGGCACTACCTGAAGTTGTGATTAATGGGTCGATTACGGATAGCAACGCAACCACGGATTGGTTGCCAGCTGGCAACGCAACTGGAAAAAAATTTGTATTACGAATAGCAACTATCATCAGTTGCTGTAGAGTTATCGATAATCAAAATTTGACAGTTCGACAACCAGCAAGCGGCTGTAAACAAGCTGTGCGAGTAAAATTAAATTATTAAAATAAAGAGTTTTAAAGAAAAGACAGCAATAAAGGCTAAGTTCATCACAATTATTTGTTTAAGAGGAATAGAAGTGCATAAACGCGGCCTCAATCAGGCGACATTTAGAGGATAATACCAATCCTCTAGAGCTACCGTGTGCACTGTAAGCAAAAGTTAAGCGTTCAAGGTTTTTGTTTTATTATAGTTTTGTGTTAATTTTCAAAGCATATTGAGGACTTCCAAAAGAAGCTGTAGTATAATTGGTTAATAAACAGATGAACCACTTCGTTCAACTTCAATACCTCTGCTCATAAAAGCTTGCGCACCTCTTCGATTTGCTTCGAGGTGCTTCAGTTGATAAAGGAAAAAATTTGCAACCAGTGTTCGCTTTTGTTTCGCCAAAAGGGCGTACTCCACAGGAACTCAAATTTCAAGTTATTGTTTTGTTATTTTCGCCAAATTCTGTAACAGCAAACTGCATAGCAAAAAGTTAATATCGTTCAGATTATTAAAAAGTAAAATATATGACACACTCTTCAATTTTCGCTCCTAAATACGCTCCAAAAACATTCCCAGCCACCACAAAAATGTAGTCGCCTGTATATACACTTTGTAGCAACTGCAGTTGTCAGTTGAAAGTTGCCAGTTGCCATAATATCGTTTTGGCAACTATCAACGCAACTGAAGTTCGATTGCTATCGATAATCGACCCATTAATATTTCGTCCATTCATTACAAATTCGACTTCTACCATCTCGTGAACTTCTACCGCTGCACCCCTAAAACTTCAAACATGTTCCTCGCTTGGTTGTCTAGGGATACTGTGACAGTTGTAATTATCTATAGCTGGCAACTCTCTGTAATATGTCTGTATACTTGTTATTACTGTCATCTCTATCATTGGATATATACATATGTACAAACCATGATTTACTGCACATTGTACTGTCAACTAATAAAGACTTAATTCTAAGCAAGTGCCACGTGTGTCCTTTATTGAATCCTCAACAGATACCTTCTGGCACTGCCATGTTGGATACCAGTGATGAGTTGCTACCCGTGTCTACAAACGCTGAGTGGGTACGACCCGCTCTATACATATCTGACGCATCACAGGTGGAGGTACCAATGCTGTTTCCTCGGTAACCTTACCCACTGTTTTCTTTCCACTTCGACAATCCTTCGCCTCATGCCGATATTTGTTACAACTACTACATTTGGCCTTGCGCTGTGGTTGTGGAAATTTTGCTGCAATATGTCCAACATTATTACAGTTGAAGCACCTAAAGCCCTTGCGCTCGTTGTACGGATTCTTCTCCACTTCACCTTCCTTTACGTTCCCCTTGGCTACTGTACTGACTTTGTTGTACGTGTTCGCTATCGACAAATTTTCGATCGACCTTAACAACTCGTCGCACGAGAGCAAATTCATCGCCAACAATGTTCGAGATAAGCTGGCATCATTTAAACCCCAATAACGAGTTAATTGATGCTTCATCCATGTTGACTTTCTGACCTAGATTTAGCATAACGTAGTTAGTAGTCCGCCATATTTACAGTTGTTACAAAATCATACCTCAAGGTAGCGACAAACTGTTGCCACGACCTGAACACCGGTTGACATTCAGCCCACTGGCGTGCCACCCCTTTAAGTTTGTGGTGAACTGCAAATAGCAATACTTCTTCCGACCACCCATAAATTGACCGAAGCTGCTCCACTCTGTCCAAGAATTGATGTGTTGATATATGGCCCTTAAGTGGGTCGAAATCCAGTAGCATTCCGATAATGTCCGTCATCGTGTGTTTGACTACTGTTGACATTGTTGGTGGTCCGGCCCCCACCATATACCGAGGTGTTGTTGCAACTTCTGCCCTATTCGCTTGGATTGTAGCATCTTCCCTCTGATGCACCTGCCGTTGCAGGCGAAGCCCTCGTCACATCTGCCTCTGAACCGTGCTGACATATTGGCGATCATTTCACGGATCCATCGACTTGCTTTTGCAAGGCTGGAACCTCTTCAACTTCCACTTCGTCATCTTGCACCTCGACAAATTGTGCTTTTCCAGTAGAACATTCAATTGTTCCACTTATAATTCATTCAGTTTAACCATTTTAACTCCAATTCCTGATTCCAGGTTTTCCACGCGTCTATCGTCGTTGACTTTTTTTCTCCGATTGCGTCAGCGGCACTCTGCCGTTAAAAATGAAAAAAACCCACTCGCTATCGATTTAATTTATTTTTCTCTATTCCGCGCTGCTTTTCTTTCTTGTCGCCGCTAACGCTATTCTCCTTTACTCTTTCGGTGCCGGTTCGTGCAGCAATTCTCCGTATTCTTGCCCCACGCTTTTTTTTTATGAGTGTCTATCACTCGTTCGTTCGTTTGCGTCTATCGCTCGTTATCCTTTTCTGTGTGAATGTCTATCACTCTTTGTGCTCGTCCTTTTGCGTATATCGCCCGTTATTTTTTTTATGTGAGAATGCCTATCAATCTGCTTGTCCTTTTGCGTTTATCGCTGCCAGCTTATCTTTATATGTGTATATATGTGTGTGCGCCTTGTGCAATCTATCCCGTTCCGAATTGTAGGCCAAAATTCCACTCCCAATCTGACGCTGTCACGGATGACTTGTGTGTATTTATTTATAATAAGAGCAAATTAAAGTTGTTGATATATTTACAATGAATTTAGACAAATGTCTTTTAAGTGTTAATATGAATGATGAAACTCAAATGAATGAATGAAAATACGTCTGTACTAGGCAGTTCACACGCTACTCCCTCTCGCTGACATATGTAAAGTAATTTATGTACTTATTATTAAGCATTAGTTTTAAACAAGTTTTAAGTCTGTCTACATATGTGTGTATACTTGTAAGTTTTGTTTTCCATTTATTTTTTTATTTTTTCCCTAATCTTTGAGTTTGTATCGATGTTAATTTTTATTATTTGTTACCTTGTACTAAAAATGATTTAAATATTAAGTTACTAATTTTATTTTTTTTATATCAATAAAATGAAATGAAAGCTGAAACGGTTTCCGAAAAAGTAAAACCTTATTGCACATTTACAGGCCAAGCCCTTTCATTTCACACCTTATTTTTGAAAATCGAACGAGCGGTTCGGATCTGATGACATGGACAAAAAATCCCTTCGCGTATTATATGCATAGATAGTCCATTGTAGTAGTCTTTTTTGTTAATCTTTATTGACACTGATATGTCTGCATGTTATTTTATAAGTTTAGTAAACAAATTATGAACGAATAATTTTAAATACATATCCAATTAAAAATTTCGTTATATTTGACATAATTACCTCAATTTAAAGGTAAGAACAAATACATACATACCTAGATTAAAATAATATGAACCAAAATTATGATAACATTTGTTAATCATTCAAAGAAATAACAAAACATGTTTCATAAGGTATAGCTTTGTATACATAGATAACTTAAGTTTTTGCTACTTGCTACAAAAATCGATATAACAGGGAAGGCATTAAAATAGTGGCTTAAGAATTGCAATTGTGCAGTGTTTTCGTTATGTTAGTTCTTCAATGTTGAATTGTAATACATATTTTATTGTAGGTACAAATGTATGTGTTAGCCTTCGTTCTGATACACAAATATATTTATTTTAGGACATAAAAAATATACATAACGTCGATGTTTTTGCAAAACCGCATATCTTCCGGCACTCAAACTTTAGAGAGCGAACAAACGGGTTTACTTTGAGGGCATTGCCTTGATAGGCGGTATTTTCTCTAGCTATTATTTTACAAATCTGTTGTTTTAATAACGATTATAAGATTTTTATGCATAAATGGAGGCCTGGAATTCAGGGTTACCAAATCTAATTTTTGCCACAATGACGATCCAGGCGGTTTTGAAACTCGCCGATGGAGGGTTTTGCAAAAACATCGACGATATTTATAAGCGCACTCCTCCAATTTATTTGAAAAGATTGTTTCGTTAGGCCACGCTCCTGTATGTCGTAAATAAGTTGTACAAAACACGTAAGGTCGACTTAAGATCCATGTTGACTATATCTGCAATAACAAAAGAAAGAAAGAACCTTTTAGTCTCTTTTAATGTTTAAGAATTTATGTAACATTGGTTTGAACTAGAGAGCCGCTTAAATGATTTTACTTTGCACAGTATAGTAAAGTAAGAGTGTAAATGAAACAGCCTTATTGCGAGAGTCGTGTCGAATGCAAGTCGTTTTTCGAAAGTCGAATCGTATCGAAAATTTCACGTCATTGCCTAAAATTTACATTCGACAGAAATCTTGGCAGCACTGCATAGTTTTCTACAATTTTTGTCGTTTACTTATTTTATCACGACAGTCGACAATGCCGATGTTGTCGAGTCGTACTATTTATCCTAATTTACGACTTACGCAATGAGGCTGAACATGAGAGAGACTGATTTTAAACCACGATGTAGCGAACAGAAGGTGACGCATTCCGCAAACCGCTACTTTGGTTTTGCCGATTTTGACATTTCTCGTGTAAAAGCAAACGACGCCTCCAAAACTTTAAATGCACTGAAATTCACGAATACTTTCACTAAAATCGCCGTTTTCACATTTTCTTTGTTAATTGTTATTACAAATGATATATGTATGTTCACAATTACAAATTGAAATTTCATGAGAAAATTCTAAATTCTTTATATTAAAAAATTTGTTTCTATAATTTAAATAGGCTGAGTTCCAAGCTGATATATTGCAAACCATCAGCCTCTTTTATTTCTAAACTATAACTGATGGAAATGTCCAATATGCGTAACCATGTTCAAATGCCGAATTGGAGCTTAGTTGCGAAAATTGGTAATTTCCATCAATTATAGTTTAGAAATAAAATAGGCTGATGCTTTGCAATATACCAACTTGGAACTCAGCCTATTTAAATTATAGAAACAAATTTTTTAATATACAAAATTTATAATTTTCACATGAAATTTCAATTTGTACACGCTTGTCAATGGCATTTTCAATCTTGATAATTTATCAAGAAAAGAGCTTTTGATTTCTGTGGGATTCTAGCCCAATTCGATACAAATAATAAGAAATTGAAAAATTATAAAAATTTTTAATTTATCAAGTGCACAGAATAGGGCTGTAAGGCCCACTTGTAGAACATCCAGAGTTAAATATATAAATACAGAGTTCAGTACCTCAGAGTTAAATATTTATATTCCTAAACCAGAGAATGGGACTTATGAATAAAAACTAAGCAATTGCTTTTTCTTAAAATTTCAGACCGATTACACGATTTCTTCAAATAAATTTAAGTAAAAGGTCTGAAATTTTAAGAAAAAGCAACTGCTAAGTTTTTATTCATAAGGTCCAATGTCTTGCAGCATTGAAAACTGACCCAGAGTTAAGTAACCCGAGGGATTTCTAAATTAATTAGGTCGCTACCGGTGCTTGAAATTTTCATTTTTCACCAATTTCGAAATTTCGTATCAAAGGATTTTTCGATAACTAATGTAACATTTTTTTTTNCGATTACACGATTTCTTCAAATAAATTTAAGTAAAAGGTCTGAAATTTTAAGAAAAAGCAACTGCTAAGTTTTTATTCATAAGGTCCAATGTCTTGCAGCATTGAAAACTGACCCAGAGTTAAGTAACCCGAGGGATTTCTAAATTAATTAGGTCGCTACCGGTGCTTGAAATTTTCATTTTTCACCAATTTCGAAATTTCGTATCAAAGGATTTTTCGATAACTAATGTAACATTTTTTTTTCCAAAAAAAAAAACAATGTGGTTTCTATACCACGATGAGATACATAGTTGGTTTTTCATCAAAAAATACTTATGCCCCGCAATACCACATTTTTGAGAAGAAAAATTAAAAAAATTGGGTATTCTATTTTCAAGTTCAAACAAAATCCGACCATGAGTTTTTTGGAGCCGGTATATATTATTTTCAAGCACCTATATGTCCTAAGCATAATGGTGACAGCCGCATATCAAAATCATTATTTAAAATAAAAGTTATAGGCATTTTACCGAGTGTACAAAGAATGAAAAATTATCATCTACTATATTGTTACGATTATCCTTGACTTCTTGACAGATTTACCAAAAATATCTAGGTTCGTAACGCTGGATTGTTAAATAAACGCTCACGATGACCAAATTACAGTACAAATAACTTTATTATACAACAAACACTTACAGTAATTGCTAATGCAATAACAACACTTTACAATACTCGTTAAAGCAATTGCAACGCTTTACAAAACTTGCTTACACAATTTATCTCTGTTTCACAACTTGCTTATAGCTTGCTGATTCGCAACTGACTGACTTGTCTGGTAGATTGCTGACTTTAACTAACTTATACGGTTGACAAACGGCTCGATTACTTGCATAAACAGCCTTTATTTGCTTTGACTCATGCGTTTTCCTCTTTAAAATTCGCATAAGCAGCCGAACAAATGCACGAAATTTTTAGGAATTAACTCGGATCCGGGGAATTTTCGATGACAACACTGGTAAAAACGGCCCGATGTTGTCTCTTGTACAAGTAAGCAAACCATTTAGCCATTGGTACTGAAATAACAAAACATTAACTTGCAGGTTTGGAATGATTTAAAATACAATACAAAAAAAGAGCGTACACAACCATGCAGAGAAAATCGCGACTGGAGGTGGACCAAACAACACGGTTTTACTTTCCAACCTGGAACAGACCGTGAATAGATTGATGAACTACACTCTATATAATAGCCCTCCAGGAGAAGAGTTTGGAGTAGAAAATGAAGAAGAAAACCAAGATGAAAATGAGTCCGGTAGAGCAATCGAAATTTTAGAGGACCATGATATCCAGACGCCCTCGCGAAACCGGATACTCAATGAGAGAAATAGAACTGGACGCAAAGAACACCGCCAAATTGCACTATTAGAACAGCAAACAAACAGGTTGATTTTCAAAATAAATCTCTTAATACCTTCAAAGATATTAAANTAAACCGGATACTCAATGAGAGAAATAGAACTGGACGCAAAGAACACCGCCAAATTGCACTATTAGAGCAGCAAACAAACAGGTTGATTTTCAAAATAAATCTCTTAATACCTTCAAAGATATTAAAAAGAGCCTTTCAAATATTGAGACTTACACAAAAAGATCTTACTATTTAAAAAAGGATAAACTATCTCTTTACAAGCAGGATATCGAGAATAAAAGAATGGCTCGAAAAGCTAAACTAGAACTTAAGAAAAAACTGCTTGAACTGAAACAAGAAATATATAGGAAGTAATCAAAAGTACAATTATTTTAAGAGAAAATGTCAAAGACTGCAGTGAACTCATTTTTATTTTTGCTATTTTTATTTAATGAAACAATGGAAATGATTTGTACCTGAAGCGATGAATATGCTTTGCTTATGTTTAATAAAAATGTAAAAAAAAATATGAAAAAATTAGTGCCAGCGCGACAAGACATTTTTTCTGCAGCTTGTCGCATAGGAACGTTATCATTTGGATTAGCTTCTTCTACGATTTTAACACTCCCGTCCTGGACGTCTGCAATGTTCACTTCTTCATAGGGGACATTGTCATGGTTTGGATTAGCTTCTTCTAAGATTTTA